TGGCAAAAAGTTATTTCTTCGTCGGCTCGTCGATAGCGCCGATCAAGCAGTCATCTGCTATTGCATGATGCAGTACTACCATTGTGCTATTGTACTCTACTACTACTACTACTACTACTACGACGACGACGACGACGACGACGCCGACGCCAGTGCCGACACCCGAAGCGCCAGCGCCAGCGCCAGCGCGCGGAATTAGTCTATTTGTGCCCATGTTTAAGTACTCAGGGCCACCAAGCAAGTTCAGGAACGGAGCAGGTATAGCTTGAGGGTTGCGGTGTTGGAACTGATGCCTCTACTTCCTAAAATGAAACATGTTCGGTTCTTCTCCACAAGACCAGCTGCAACTCGAAGTTCTTGGGCTCGTGGCATTGCTAATCCGTACCGTCGAACTCATAGACTTTTAGGCCTACCTGCGCCAAAGATCACTAGACAGCGTGAGTGGCCCTCTTTGGGAATTCAAGACCTTAAGACTTTGTGTTGGGGTCCGAAGCTGAAATCCCAGACGGTTCGAAGACGTGGAGCAAACGGGAACATCCTTGTCTGACACCATGGGCCCCGATGCCCCATGGCCCAAGATCCTAGAACCCGAAAGCAAAACACCCTTAACCACAAATCCCACAGCCTGAACTCTACTTCTAAAAAGGAGCTTCGTTCTGTTATGTTTTTCTGTACGGGGGCGGGAGGAGATGACGACCCACCGACGGATGGACTTGGCTTCAAGGTTGGTGGCCAGCCCGGCAATCAGGGGTGAGGGCTTGGGGTTTAGGGCCTAGGGCCTAGGAAGCCAGAGACAACCGATCAACTTGACCTTTGCAATACAGTGTTTCTACCGCTTGGAAGGTCTGTCGTCAACAGCAGTGTTGGCCTTACCTATTTGATTACCTTCGCTGAGGCATCAAAGCTGAACAATGAAGGGGACCTCCTACATCTTGACACCGCCGTCAGAGGCAGCAAAGAGAGCTGAACGATGAAAGGAACCTGCCACATGTTGATGACATTGTGAAAGATAAAGCTTTCACTTGAGCGACACGGGGCTCTTCAAAACCATCAGGGGCATGTGGGACGATTGTTTGCGAGCCCTTTTTTTAGCTCTCTGTGCAAGTACAATTCATTGCAATGGGGTAGAGATCCCGCATGGTTCTGGTGTGTGACAACTTCGGCGCACAGGTATGGACACTGTTTAGGGTTTTTGATGGTATGGCACCAGCTGCTGTCTGTCACCCATTTCAGTAGCTGAGCGCCTCCCACCAAGGTGTCGAGGGCAGCAACTATGCCTCGAAGCTCATCACCCAGCCACCCAGCAGCTCTGAAGGAGGAACTTTGTTACTAACTCAGGGTCTGCGGCTAGCTTGGCGTCATGTTGGGTACCGCTCCTGTAGATAAGTACTGCTTCGATGCTTCTGAGATTCAGAAGCCAGAAATTCCACACTGCAACGAGCAAGAAGTACGTCACCGCGCTTGGGTAGCAATAGAGGTTTTAGAGAAGAGCCTACAACTACGGGTCATCTGCACAGCTGCCCAGACGTAAAGCGCAACAGATAAAATCGGCCCGATTGCAACCTTGCTGTAAGCGCGCGCCCCTTTTTAAGTCCCCTCGCCCTCCCAGAACACCATGCACCCTAAACCCTGGCCCTACACCATCCTACATGCTAAAAAACCCAAAACCCCAGCCTTGAACCTAAAAGCCGAGGTTCGGTGGCCGTGAGACAGACACCAGCTCCTGCCTGGCCTTTGCCCCGCAGTCGCGGCGCTCTCGCAAGACGCGGAGTGACTGGCAGGCAACGGTTTTTCAGGCGGTTGAGGCTTTTGGTTCGGATTTTAGACTTTGGGGTGTCAGGTTCAGTTGGGGTTTATGCTTTTGTGGGGGTTTGGATTTTGGGGCTTAGCGGAAGAGGTTCGGGTCTGGGCCGTAAGGTTACAGGTTTGGCGTTCCGGCTACAGGGTTTCCGTTTCAGTTCCGCACATGTCACCAAAGAAGGCGTTTGTTGTGGTGCTGACGTCCAGTACTCGCGCCCACCCACATCTCGGCCTTACCAGGTTCAGGGTTTGCCTTAGTACGATCATCCTGGATCCGAAGGTTTACCGTCCATGCTGGATTCTTGGCTCTAGCATAAGTTGTCAACGATCCCACGGCTTATGTGCCCGGTTTTATCCTTCTGTGTGGGGAACTAAATCATTTGAAGGCTTGAACCCTAAACAAAATCTTAAAACCTCAGGACTAAAGCACTAATTAAACTCTCTCACTCTCAGAAAGGTGTCGAACAAGGACGATTTCATCAAACTCGAGCCGTACGCCGTACCTTGCGGCGTCGGCTGGATGAAGTCGAACCCCACGAAGTGGGAGGGCGGCTCGGACTTGAAGCCGTGGGAGCCTTTGCGATCTTTGGGATTTAGAGTCTCTTGCGCAGTGCACAGTCTGCAGAGTTTATCAGAGTAGTCTAGAGTTCAAGCGTCAGGGTTTTGAGTGGATTCCTTGAAGGAGTACCAGGGCGTTGTAAGCGGGGAGTGTGTAGGGAGTGTGTAGGAAACGGCGTGTGCTGTTCGGACACTTTTCCGTGCTTTCGGTAGGCTATAGCCTTGAGAAGGAAACCCCGCAATTCCAAGTAGCCTCAAGCTCTAGAATCTACTGTACAATTATGCGTATGATTCCTATATATATATATATGTGTGTGTGTGTGTGTATCTATATATGTATATATATATATACATACATACATATATTCATTCTAAACATGGAGCATGTTGGACTCAAGGAGTGCCCCTTTGTTGCAACTTTCGGAGGTCAGAGTCAGCCACACGCATGGTCAAAAATTGGAGGGTGCTGATGTACAAGCCGGCAGAACCAAGGAGTTCACCAGGATTCACGGAAGCTCACACAACACTCGCCCAAGTGACCGAAGAGCCCCCTGCTCTGGTCATTAAGTAGTTCCTACTTAGCTTCGACGTAGGCTACGCGTTTTACACGTCCGAGCTGGCCATCGAAAAGTGCCTCACGGTGACCTACAAGATGACACTCGGGTGTCACAGTATCGCGTTCAGGGTTCAGGTCGTGGAGTTCGGGGTCTGGGGCTAGGGCCGAGTTTCGGTTTGGGCTTATTCTGGGTTGGGGCCGGTTTCGGGTTGAACACGATCATGCATTTCTATGCTGGCCGTTAGGCGACATAGCCCCTGCAGCACCTATAATTTCTTCACTTGGTCAAGCAAGAATCAGAGTTTGTTTGGATTTCCGAATGTGGGTTCAGAGTTGAGGGTTTTCGGCTTGGGTTTGACATTATCGTGAACTGTCGGGGTATCTTGAAGCATGTGAAGGGTCGGGGTGTGGGTAAGGTCGAACAAGGTCGATGTTTCAAGCAAATTGAACCGCTTTGTGTCTCCTTGGCCCGACATGGCCCTGCGAAGATTGACGAGGCCACAGGTCCGTTGCTCCACCCAGGGAAGCCCACGTCCTGATTTTGTTTGGTTGTGCACGTGTGCTCAAGTGGCTAGTGCATCTAGTACAGCTTTCTCCGGCATCATGGCCTTCGACGGTTGCAACGGGGCGAATCCGGCACCTGCAGGTCCTGCAGGTTGCCTGGTGGTGCACGTTTGCATCAAGTGACAATAGGTGACAAAACCCGTTCGACGATGTTACCTCTGGGGTTTGCCGGTGCGGGCAGCAACTTTTTCAAGTAGCCGTAGCCATGGCTGATGCACGGACCGACCCGGTCGAGAGCCGCCCGGATGAGCATAGCTAGGGTGAATCGCGTCCGGATGCGGTATCCTCGCCAGCCGTGGTGTCTGGTCCCCCGCAGATGGAGAGGTGGAAGAGGGTACTGAGCCCCGTTCGGGACCTTCTGCAGCGGTGGTGATGACAGCACTGCGTGTGTTCATGGACACGTCCGAACATGCTCGGATGGACAGTCCAGAGCAGCTACGGCGCAAGTCAAGGGCCAGTCTTCTCCGAGTCCGTTGCTGAGGGGCTGGAGTGGCGAGCCGAAGGCCAAGCCTGATCGATGCCAGATGGGGGCCTGTTCGCGACCAATCCCGGGACTTGACCAGTCAGTGCCGTGTTGGGTGCCCTCAGTGTGGATGGAGGGCATGCGGGAGGACAAACTGGAGGGCCACAAGAACCCTCGCTCGAGGCACTTGTGTTCGCCGTGCCAGGAGCTGCGGCAGCGAGGCCGCTGCCAGTGTCTAAAACTGGCTGTGTTCGCTCACATTCTTGCATCTGCAAGCCGGTCATGTTCGCTCAGGTCGTTGTGCCCGTACTGCGGGGCGCTCAGGGTGGAAGTGTCGCTGCGCCGATGAAAAAAGTGGTAGCCAGAGCACATTTTCTTCACGGGGTCACCCGAGCCACCGTCTAAGCGACAGGTCGCCGGCCTTACCCAGGTTGCGGCCTTCTGTCTGCACAATGAGGCGTCGGAGGATTGGAAGATTTCCCGTGGCAGGGGCACAGATGCTGGCCAGGTCGTTCGTGCCGTTGCCAACGATCCAGATGATAGGGCGATGGGGTTCCGTTGCAGTTATTGCGGTACGTGCAACAGGCGGATCACGAGGGCGCTTCCCGTTCACTCCCAATCAGGGACCGTCCGAATCCGGAGTCATCATGCCAGCCGACTGTGAGCTGGCACTCTTTTACCACAACCGCCTCCCTTGCCTTTTGGCAGCACTCGGAGCGTCTGGTCGTATCTCCGTGTGCCAGATGTGCTGCCCTTCCTGGCAGTGTCCTTACTGATAGTGCCGTCAGCCCACTTCGTTGATGACTTTTACCAGTCCGAGGATTCCGAGATGGCTCGGTCAGTCTTCTCGGCTTTCAACACCTTTCACATTAACTTGGGCTTCAGGATGAAGGAACCCAAAGAGAAACGACCTACTTACTACCAGGTACCAGGTCGCACAGCTTGCTCTGGGTTCTGTGGACTTTGGCTTTGGTTCCAGAGGGTGTGTGGGCGAGTCCGGGCCCAAAGCGCATTGCCAAACTGGTCACCTCTTTGTCTGAATGCTTGCAGACCTGTTCGGGCCCCTTGGCAGCCGGTTTGGTAGGCAAGCTTACAGTCGTGTGCTCGTGGGTTTTGGGCAGAGCAGGACAGGCCCTCCTGAAGCCCTGTACCGACAGCAGCACTCGATCGTCGGCCGAAGTTGCAATGTCGCCAGCACTTCGTGTCAGCTTTGTGCTGTTTGTTGAGCTACTGCCGGCTCTCAAGCCAGGCTTCCTGCCTAGCATCTCCCCTGAAGATTGGCCGCCTTTACGCAGACGCCTTCATCACTATGCATGCAGATCGGCGGTGTGCGAACAGGTGGATGGGCGACAAACAGCCCTGCAGAAACTGCGTGAGTCCACCAACGGTTGGGGAGTGATCTACGTGAACCCATCCGGATCCCGCTGCAGCTTTAGAGCACAGGTCCCAGAAACCGTGCTCCGTCAGTGTTTCTCTTCGCGAGATTACATCTACTGGCTGGAGTCGATGGCACAGTTGATCTCCATTGTGGTGCCCATGACCAGTTCGATTGCCTCGTGTGCTTCGTGGACAACACTGCCGCCGAGCACGCCCTCAGCAAAAGGAACTCTAAAAATCCAGCACTTTGTTGGTTGATAGACTCGTGTTGGTTGTGGGTGGCTGAGCAGGGATTGCTCGTGAACTTTCAGCGAGCAACCAGTCAGGCTAATCTCTCCGATGAGGTGTTTCGACGAGATTTTTCAAAGGCGGACGACCTCGGCTGTCAGCGCTTGGAGCCCTCGTTCGAAAAAACTTGGCCCGACCTTCTACGACTACAAGAAGCTCCGGCGGACTGGGCAGCGTGAGACTACCAGGCAATCGTGGACAGCCTGTTCGCCTAATCGTGCGCCGCACTCCATAGGTGGGTAAAGGCGCGTGGTGAGTGGTTTGTCAGAGTGCGCCGTTTCAAGCGATTCTGTTGCTCCAACCCGTTCGTTCGCAGACAGAACGCCAGCACAGTCGAGCAGGTCGAGGCGAAAAGAAAGAGCCTCGACCGTGTCTGCCTGTTAGCAGTACAGCGGAGTTTGGGGTTTTGTCTGGTTGTGCACATGTGCATCAAGTGACAAAACCCGTTCGACGATGTTACCTCTCGAGATTGCCGGTGCATTCAGCAGTTTTTTCAAGTCCCGCCTCACGATTTACCAGTCGGAACAGCGGTTTGTTCGAGCTCGCCGTTTAGACCGGCTCTGTTGCTCCAACCTGTTCGTTGCAGACAGAATGCCAGCACAGTCGAGCAGGTCGAGGCGAAAAGAAAGAGCCTCGACCGTGTTTGCCTGTGAGCAGTGCAGCAGAGTTTAGGTTTCGTCGCCGTTCTCGTGCGCCCAGTTTCATATTTTTCTTCTAGAGCTATACGGGGCCCTCATTAAAACACCAAGTCTCGATCCCTTGCCTTAGCGAAAATCGCGTACAAAACTTAGGGGCCTGTCGGAAGGACACCGAAGCCATACAGGCACCCTTACAAGGGGCTAAAACCTGAACCCCGGGCTTGCCCCCAAGCTCTGAAAGAGACCGCGCTGAAGCTAGGAATGCGCAGCCCGTCTTAGCCTTCGTGGGTGGCCTGCAATTCGACGTGATGCCGGGACCCCTGGCCTCGGTGGCCGCCCGGCCAAAAACCCGCACCCTAGTTGGGGTCGGGGATTGCGGGCTTGGACTTTAAGGCTTGGGATTTTGGTGGTTTGGGCTGTGGGGTTTGTCATTTAAGGGTTGGGGTTTTGGGCTGTTAAGGCCGGGCTTTGGTGTTTGGAATTTCGCGCATGGAGTAAGCAAGGGATTAACAGTTTGAGTGTTTCGCACTAAATTTGTGGGTATTTACTAGCTTTAGGGCTTGGGTCTTTTCAATGGTTCAGAGGCTTTACCCAGGTGTTCCAAGACACTTCAACTACGGAGTGCGTTTGT